CAGGTAAGAGGTTTGTTCGTAACCTCTATCGCGATCTATTTACGAATAATGTGACCGTTCGCTCTCGTATTTTGCTCGTAATGGGCTTATAACATGCAAAACCATCGGGGCCTTCTGAAACACTGGCCCGTCCCTGGCCGACTTGAATTTGCAGCTGTGATAGGCGGCATGAAAGTGTGATGCGATCGAGCTGTGTCCCAGCGAAGGTACAGCAGTGGAATGCCTGTCACGACACCCGCCGAGCAGGCAACATGTAGGCCTATTGCATTGTTGCTATCGTTTGTCATGTGTCCTTGATCCAGGCAGATGGAGAGGGTAAAAGTCATGTTTTCCAGCCCTTTTCTGCCGTATTAATTGCTCCACAATAAATTAAAAGAAATGAAATTAAAAATTCCAACGTTCTTTGTCCAGAAAATATGTTTATGTAGGTCAGCATACAAATTGAAAATGCTAGATTCCAATAGTTTTCAATGAATGTGCTTGTATGAATGACAATATAATTTTAGATTTCATTAAAGTAAAATGAAAATAATTTCAGAACATGTTATAAATAAAATAACCTTGCTTATTTGACTTGTCGCTTTCAATCCATTATTTTCTTTTACTCGTAGATTAGCTGTAACTCTTTATAAATGTGTTTCGTACTGTGAATTTATTGGTTCATTATTTGTTTAGAAAATCATTATCTCAGTCATTATGCCAAGAATCCTTTTTGTTCTTCTCTCCACCAATTCCCTTCGAAAACAGCTAGCCAACAATACAACTTGGTCGAATTCAACCGCTGTCTGGAGAATAATTCTAGTGGTCGGCTGCTTTACTTGGTAGTTATCCAATCAACACCAGTCGAATGCAAAAGCAGTACTTACAAACGGACCACGGAGCGCTCGCAATCCTTCCTTCCTCTGCCTTGTCTTATCCTTTACACACCTACACTCACTGGCACTACACTATCCCATTTGTCGGAAGACCAATCGGGAGAGGAGAGCCTGCTGGGGGAAGATACTTGGTTGGGCCCCGCTAGCCACGGTACGTCGGCGCCGGAACTCAGAAGCGGAATCATCTCCACCTTTCGCGATGATAACATGCTACACACTTACGGGACTAATGAGCTTGGCAATTGACGCGTCCATCATCACTAATCAGTTAAAAAAGCACACTTATTGTTATCCTAACCCGCAGCCTCACCCATGAACTCCACCTCTGTTGCCCAACCTCCATCGTCATGAGGGCCTCTCGACCTCCGCCGCCGTCTCCGTCTCGGTGCGTCACCGCTTCAGCCTCCGCCGCCACCAACGCTGCCTACGCCACCTCCACCTCCACCTCCACCTCCGAAGAGAGAGATTCCTCCACTCGCTTTCCTCCACTCCGCTCTCCCTCCGCTCGGCTTTCCTCCACTCGCTCTCTCTACTCGCTGTCCCTCCATCCGCCGACCTCCACCCACGCCCTCTCTCGCGCGCCGGCCGGGTGATCGAGAGTCGGTCGCGGGGGGCCGCGATCGAGCCCCGGGACCGGCCCGCGCCGCCGAGCGCTCGCTTGCACGGGCCGCGTCGCGTTTCTCGCACTGAAAAAAAAAGAAAAGAAAAACGCGGCCGCCCTCGGCGCCGGGCGCGCGGGGGGCGAAGGCCTGGGCGCGGGCGATGAGCCGTGAGAGCCGGGCGGGAGCGTATTGCACGCGCGGTGGGAAGGGGACGCCGCGCCGGCTGTGTTGCAACGGGTGAGGCGCCGGGGCCTCGCCGATCCCCGCCCCGCCCCGCCCGCCGCCCCGCCCGCCCGCCGGCCCGCCCGCCCGCTCGCCAGCACACCCACCCGCTCGCAGCCACACCCACCCACCCCTCGCCAGCACCACCCCCCACAGCCGCTCGCCAGCACCACCCCACCACCAACCGCTCGCCAGCACACCCACCCACCCGCTCGCCAGCACCACCCACCCCGCTCGCCAGCCCACTCACACCGTTTCGCCAGCACACCACCCGCGTCGCCAGCACCACCGCACCCACCGCTCGCCAGCACCACCCAACGCTGCCATGCACCACCACCCACCCGCTCGCCAGCACACACCCACCCGCTCGCCAGCAATCACTCACCCGTTCGCCAGCCCCACTCCCCGTTCGCCAGCACACCCACCCGCTCAGCCAGCAACAGCCCACACCGACCCGCTCGCCAGCACCACCCACCGCAACGCTTGCCAGTCACACCCACCCACTGTCGCAGCCCCACCACCCACCCGCTCGCCAGCACCACCCCACCCGCTCGCCAAGCACACTCACCCGTTCCCAGCACCACCACCCGCTCGCCCAGCACCAACCCACAGCCGCC